GGAAAACGTGAGCGGGTAAGAAATTTGCCAGCCACCCCAACCTTCTGCACCCAAGACACTTAGGGGCTGGGGGTGCTGGGAGGGGATAGGATTGCGACTTCTCCTGGAAGACGCACTTAACGATTTAGGCAGTGTCTTCCCTTTCCGGTGGCAAATATTTAAAGGAGAGAATAGATACCTAGAAAAGGAGGTTGATGATTTATGTCTGGATTTTCCTCCAAGCATTTGCCTCCCTTGTATTCACAGGCGTGGCCCCATTTGCAAATTGTACATCTGTTCTCTTCACGTGACATTTCATAAAAGCCCTAACATCTGGGCAAGATAAACTTCCTTCAGGTACCTGCTTAACTTTTCACTTGTCACACTCGTGCCCCCCCCCCCCCATGCGTCCCTTTAACCCCCCCGCCTGCCTCGGTGGCGGGGTCTGTGGCGCGCTTTGGTCCAGCCCCCAGGCTCGCGGCACCCCCAGCCTCGATGACCCCACGCCGCCTGCTCCCAAAGCCAACCTCTGCCAGGGCCAACTTCTTTGGCCTCACGTCTCCCGCCTCTGGCTCCGCTGTGCAGGTAAGTGAGGGCACCATCTTGAACCCAAGGAGAAAAGTCCTACTGCCTTCGATTCCGGCTTCAAACCAAAAACAAAACAAACAAAACAAAACTACCTCCTCCACAATCTTCACACTCGCGCTTGGGTTCCACAGTCTCGCATGCATCTGCATATTCCTCAGTGAAATGAGAAAAGAGTGCTGCTGATCCTGATGGTGGTCTTTTCATTGAACATTCGCTCATTTCTGGTCGATGTGTAAACTGCCTGTTTTACGGAAACGTAACTTCACTTGCTCATTATCTTTAATCTCCCCTCCCCCAAGAAGGCTGCCTTTGGGAATGGAGGTTTTTAGACATTTTTTTTTCTTTTCCTAATCTGGAATTTTATTCACGCATAAGCACGAAGACACATCCACAAACTTAGTGGGGAGGGGAGGTGGAGTGGAAGGAAAAGAAAACAGTCCACGTAAACAAGAACGACAGCCGTTGGAGCCTTCGCTGAAGCAAACCCCAAACGATCTCATTGCAGGGCGCCCACGAAATCCCGGCTATAATTGAGTGTTTTCTTTGAGGTTTTCTGACCATGTGCTTTTTACCATGGTTACTATGACTCTGATAGGAGAAGCTGGATATTCATTATGATCCGGCCCCATCCTTTCCCCAAGGTTTACCTCCCTGGCCCTTATAAAGAAGTCGAATACAAAGGGGGGACTTTTGTGCCAGTGATTTTAACCTGCCCCACCTTCCAGTGACCTGCCACATGCTCCTTCTTACTTTATAGGCATCTGGGAATTCCATACATGCCTTAAACTCCAATTACACACCTTCTTCAAAGGACACGTGCTTTGATTTGCTAAGAACATTAAGTGGGCTCACGTCCTGGGGCCTTGGGACAAAAGCAAATGGCAAATGTATCCCACGCCCGGTTTACTGGGTCTATCTTTTGCTGTTCGGTAAATAAGGATAATTAATAATCCTGTTGGCATTTTTGAGGTCTCGGTTTCGAGGTTTCTGGGAAAGAGTGGGGTTGCCGGCTTTGAAAAATTACGAGGAAACCGATTACTCCTTCCGCTTTGCCGGTGCACTTTCCTTCCACTTTCGCTGGTGCTGGGGGTGGGGCACGCCTTCCGACGCAACAGGCAGAAAATTCTGGAAAAGTGGCCCCCGGGGATCCCCCGCTCGACCCCCGTTTGTCGCTAATACGGGCCTGTCTCTGGAAATTTGAGGTTGGGCCTTTGCCTGACTCTTGCTGCTGCTGCTGCCTTTGCTACCGCTGACACTTGGAACGGCCGCCTCCGCGCAGCGGCCGGACGCGGGGCCCGGAGCGGTCCACGCAGTCGGAGGAGGGCACGGGCACTGTCACCCTCCCCAGCGTGTGGCACCGGACCGCCACCCACGCAGGGGAGTCTGGGCCTGTGCCCCCCTCCCGCGCCCGCCACAGGTGAGACTCCCGCTCCCCACGGAGCTCTGTTTGGGTTTCCGTGGCGTTTGTTCCCCGCAGGTTTGTTTGTTTTTCTTCAAATTACAGATGCAGGGAAAACCGCCTGACATCATGAGAGCGGGACAAACGCTCACTTTGAAGGATTCCTGGGCAGGACTTCAAGTGAAATCATATGCCTGCGAAGAACTTGATACCGGCCTAGAGAAAATAACCAGTTCTGGGTTTGCCAAACCGTGGAATGTGCAAAATGCTCGACTTTTTTGCAAGAGGCCAAGTGTCCCTTAAAAAGCTCCATTATGAATATGAGCCTGAAGACTGCAGGAGCAAGAAGCTTGTGCCGTTGTTGAGTGTGGGAAAAAAGTACACACAGATGTGAGTTTTTGCTATTTAACGTTATTTTATTTTATTAATAATTTGTACTTTAGGGAGGATGCCTGCAACTGTGCATGAATTATCATCTGTGCATGTGCTCAACAAGTGTGTGCACAAAGAAGGGAAATAAATGTGTCTGAGAACAAAAATTTACTGCTTTCTTATGACTGAAGCCTATCGATCCAATGAAGTTAAAAGCAAGATTTAAACAATATATATGTGCACAGTAAAGGAACCATTTTTACTCAGTTGTTTAGAATTCACCCAAGGCAATTTTATACAGCATTTTTTTTCTCCAGTGAACGCATTCTGGCTAAAGGACAGAGTCCCCGTCCAGCCATCACATTAAATTCTCACTTCTGAAGCAGAGGTTAATTCACTTTAAGTGTTCTTTAAATAAGAATAGGTAGCAAAAAGATTGAAAACAGGAAAAAAAATGGTAGAGCAAAAGAAACAACAGGGGGCTTTATTTCTATTCTGAAAAAGAATTAGCATTGTTATGTGCAAAGGGGAGGAGACTGGGAATATAAAAACAGTCTGCAATCTGAAAATTGTATTCTAATAGTTAATATTTTCCACCGTGAATTATTGTCATGCAGATTAAAGATATTCATCGCCTTTCATTCATTCATTCATTCATTTCTCTGAAAATCTAGGGGAAAAATATTCCCTTCAGTTTAGCAACATAAATAAGGCATTTGCTTTTCTCCAAAGGGTTCTCTTGTGAGAAAAGTAAAGAGAAAAAAATACCAAAAAAAATTTTTAATTTAAAAAGGCAAATGAAAGGCTACCTTTTGTGAGACCTCTGGGTTTTACAGCGTCAGATATAAGATAGAGATTACCTTCTGAACAGCAGTGACAGCCAGCTCCATCCTGATGTACGTCAAGAAATCTGAAATATCAAATAGTCAGACCAAGCTAGTGAACAAGGAGATTCCTCCGTGAACAGTTTAGAAAATGGAGGTATAGGATGATAACACACAACAGAGAGAATTACCATCTTGATGTGCTCTCCGTCATGTTTCTAGGAAACCTCCTTACATTTCTACCCTATACACATGCTCACTCGCGCGCTCTCTCTCTCACACTCTGCAAATACACCCACACCCTACAAATACATGCACACGTAATCACTTTCCCGGCTCATGTAGTTATTTGGTAAAGGACTATCAAAATCCAAAATTAATTCCCCAAGCCTTCACTAACCTTTTCGGGTAAGTAAATGCTATAGGCTCCTTATCCTAAAATATGGTCTCAAATATTCAGAATAGTAAATTTACAATATTGTTATGTCAGCATTCTCTGATGTTGTGTGGGAGGAAAAGAAAAACCTTCAGGCAATAATAGCCTCAATCTGAGTTGAACAAACACGACCTGTTTGGATTCATCTACACTTATTTGCCATAGCCATTGTTTGAAATAGACAGCAAAATTATTTTCCAGTTTGAAAGCTTCCCAGATGACACCTGTATGCAGTAAACCACATGTAAAAGAACTACGTGATACAAATTTACTGCGTCTAATGATATTAGTGGTAAGAGCCAATATATTCCTTGCTCAAAAATAACCATAGTGAAATAAACATCAAGCCCCATTTAACTTAACTTCATCAAATTTTGTATACCTATAAGTAACCAAGGAAAAATTCCACGTTCATTTTGGATAAAATATACTTGCTAATGAACTGACCAGAAAATGAATAGGTATAGCATTTAAAATTATAATTGCTTCAATAGGTACTGAAGATCCTGAAAGTTCAGGTTCTTTGTTTATTGTATTTTACTTCATAGTTATATGTTCTTCATATATATACATATGTAAAGAAGGAGCATGCTTCCCAAATGGATAACATCAACATAGGAAAGTATTCTTAACTTGGGCTTTTCTTTTAAGCAAATATGACATTAAATATCATTTTCATTCATGAGTTAGGCAAATTACTCTACAACTGGAACTATCTTTCCTGCTGAATTAAACTTTATTATTTTCAATGCATTTGTATTGATTTATATGTGTACAATATAAATATAGGTCATTTTAAGAACACTTTATACACACTTTCACTGAAATGAACCTCTTATTTAAAAATCCTAACAGTGGAGGGCATGACAAAAATATAGAGTTAAGAGAAAATACCACTGGCTTCATATTGCTTATATGCATTGAACTGTTTTATAGCTGCCTCCTCAAAATATAAGCAAGAGAGGTGAATAACAAATGTGTTACGTTTTCGCTGTTTGGAGACCTGATAAGAAGATGAAGGACAGATGCCACAAAGCCTACCGAACACCAAACTGGAATAATAATAAAGCTGTCTTTCTAAATAACATGCCTGTGCCTGTCAGTAGCTAGTTTATTTGCGTTTTTCACTGCTTTGTTTATATTAGTGCCCCCTCCCTCCTGGGTGCCTCCAGAGTTAAACAAGCAAGTATTTACCGCCAACTTAATCCTGAGCTTTAAAAATATAGACCAAACTCTGAGGTTCTTAAAATTTTCAATCATATTTATTTATTGCAGAAAAATAATATACAAAGATATTTACAAAACAATCATAAAAATATGAATGCATTTAGACACCGGATCTATTTGCATTTTACCATGGGTCATCAATAAATAAATAGAATGTTGTTTTTTGTATTTTAAGTTTTTTTTTTTCCCTCAGAGGAAGAACGTAAAGAGGAGTGAACTGACTGTGATTTTGCAAATCAGTCTGATCCCCGTATTTTTATGTCTAAAGATGTTCTTAAAATTCCTCTGGTTGTTACCATTTTAAAATGGAGAAAGTCCATAATGATGCCTTTCCTTTCAGTGGCTGATTGGCACGACCTCTTGAGAATGCATGCATGAAAAAATAAAAATAAAAACATTCTTCGTCAAAAAAAAAAAAAAAAAAGGAACACAAACAACTGTTCAGACTTCTATCAGAATGTAGAGGTGTGAGGATGGTGCCGCTGCCCGTCTGGGAATCACTGTCCGCGGGCCTGTCTCGCTTTCTCTTTTAAAAGTGCGCCCCACGCCCTGTTTCTTTGAATTTGGGTTCTGCTCTTCTAATTTCCAAGAAAATCTTTGGCATATATATTTATTTTTAGTTATCCAGCTCCAGAGTCTCTAGACTGTCCATTTTCTCCTTCTCTGGAAACAAGGACATCTGCAAAAACCCAGAGGGGAGGGGGGGAAAGTTGGTTATTGTTTAGGTCTTCGTGGCTGTTTTCTAAGACTAGTGAGCACTGCTCTTATCACCACTACTGAGAAACTGCGCTGAACAACCTGGAAGGATTTCAGCCCAAGGGCAAGAGGAAGTGGGTGGGCGGAAAGAAGGAGGAGGTGGAATTTGGAAACATTTGTTTTAAGGAGAACGAAAACTTAAAGCCAAAAGAAAGGGAGGCGCTGGCAAGAAAACTGTCCTTACCCATGACCCTGGAGTCTTTCTCGTCTTCCCTCCTGTCCGGCACGCACACTCACGCACACGCACACTCCTCACCAGGGCGCATCCCCCCTCTCCCTAGCGGGGACCGACCAGCCTTTCGGAGACGCTCAGGGGACACGGTGGCGCAGGCTTGAGAGGTGGGTGGGAGACGGGGCTGAGGAAGGGACAGGGAGCCACGGCCGGCCGTCAGTCCGTCCGCCACCTGAGCGGCGAAGGGGCGCAGAGGCGCTGGTCCTTACCTAGGTCTCCGGCCCTGCCGAGGGGGTGGGGAGCTCCGCCTGCTAGTGGGACGCGGACATGGACCAGGCCCCCTCCATCCTCCAGACCGAGAATGCGTAGCTGAGCCGCTCATGGGCCACATAGCTGCAGCTTGCCATCTTGGAGTCCAGCTCGTCGCTCTGGAGAACCTGGTAGAGGAAGTCGATGTACCTGGCCGCCAACTTGAGGGTCTGGATCTTGCTCAGCTTGTCCGAGGGCAGCGTGGGGATGATCTTCCGCAGCGCGGCGAACGCCTCGTTCAGCGACTGCGTGCGCTGGCGCTCCCGCACGTTGGCCATGACCCGCTGCGTCTGCAGCTCCTCGTAGGACTGCGGGCTCCCGCCGCCGCTGCTGCTGCCGCCGCCGCCGGCGCCGCCGGCGCCGCCGCCGCCCGCAGACTTCTTGCCGCGCTTGCCCTGGGCCGGGCTGCCCGGCTCGTCGCCGCCTCCGACGCCCCCGCCCGCGGCCCCGCCGGGCCCCGCGCCGCCGCCCGCGCTGCGCCGGCTGCTGCGCCGCTTGCGGCCCCCGCGCTTGCCGCTCGGCGGCTGCTGCCGGTCCGGCTCTTCCTCGCTGTTGCTCAGGCTGTCGTCGGCCGGCGAGACTGGCGAGCTGGACACGTCCTGCATCATCTCTCAGGTGGCAGCGCGCGGCCTCGCAGGCCCGGGGCAGAGGGGCGGCCCGGGGAAAAGAGGAGAGCGGGGCGCCTCAGCCCGCCAGCTTCCCCCGCGCGCGGCGCCGGCCGGGGCGGTGCGGCCCGCCGAGGAGGGAGCGGGAGGAGGGACCGGGTGGATCTCCGCGGGGAGGGCGCGCGGGGGAGGCGGGGAGGGAGGCGGGAGGGGGAGGGGACGGTGTGGATGGCCCCGAGGTCCAAAAAGAAGGCGCCCAACGGCCGCACGCACACCCTGCTCGGCCTCCTGGAAACACTGCCGGTGCCTGCGAGCCCGCGAGGTGTCTGGGAGTTGGACGAAAGCTGCAGACTTGGAGGCTCTTATACCTCCGTGCAGGCGGAAAGTTTGGGGGCAGCAGTGTCATTGGCTTGACGTGGGGAGGAGGGACTTTTCGAAGTTTTATAGGAAAGTTTCCGCTTTCCAGCCCCCCTTCCCCGTCCCCACCCCCCAGCCCCCCTCGCTCAGGGTCTAACAATTCGTTCTCCCAAACCATTCAAAAGCGACCTGGCTCCGGCGGCCGGCCCCTCTGCCCGCCTCCTTGCTGCCCTCCCTCTTCCCTCCCCGCCGCCCTCCGCAGGCGGGCGCGGGGCGATTTCCTTCCGCGCTGCTGCGCGCGGGCCGCGCCCCCGCACCCGAGCGCAGCCCCGGAAAGCGGCCAGAGGGAACCTCTCGGCCGCGGTGTCAGCCCCCCCGGAGTGGCTGTGACAGCAGCGGCAGCTACAGCTTCTACGCAGTGCGTGATGTCTCATCTCGCCCCAGTACCCTCTAGGTCCTTGGGGGCCGGCTTTGGGATTGCTGGGGCGGGGGCGGGGGGGGGCGATGGCAAGAAAACTGGCAGCCGCGGAGCTCCCCCCAATAGTCAGGTAGACGGGCCCCTAGAGCCCCAAAGGCCAAACCGCTGCGGCTGGCCCTGAGGTCGTGGGCGTTTCTGAAGACGTGGCCGCGACACGGGGAGTGTGGATCTGCTCCCCGGCCTGCTCTCACCCCTCCCTGAGAAGTATCTGGGCCTTCGTTTTCCGTCTGCAGTGATCCAGTCTAACGCTTCCTACCACTCAGAAGGCTACACCTCCGACGGTGCTAGAAAGAGACACAAATTCATTCTCTCTCCGAAGGCAGTCTTGTCCTTGGAGAAGGCAGCGGGGCCAGAGAGGGACAGCGCAGCGTTTCCGCTGCGGCCCTGATCTCCCGAGCTGCCAGCCCAAAGTGGAGGACCCTGTGGCCATTTCATCCCTATCCTGCCCTACGAGTTAGGCCCCGCGTCGTGACCTCTAAAGGTAGTCTCGGGAGAGAGGAAGATGGGGTTCCAAAGCCCCTGAACACTACACCGCAGCTTGCCGGTTGTGAGAGACACCGTCTCCACCGTTCGTTCCTAGGAAGTGGAGTGGACAGTTGTGCTTCGCTCTCCCCAAACGCGGTCCAGTTACTTGGACGCTTTTATATTTCAAGCAATTCTGTCTAATACGTTAACAACAAAGAGCCCCAAAGAAGGTGTTAATGCAGATTGTGGCAAATCGGAGGCGAGAAAAGTTGCAAATCGGTGGGCTGGAAGGAAAGCCATGTGGAAGAGAAACCCATCTTTGCAATGCCAGACTTGCTTCTCTTTCTTGGAATGAGTTGAGCTAGAATAACCGTTTCAGTGTTCATCTGTTAAGTTGCAACGCAAACCAGAAGTCAAAAGCAGTAGTCATATTCAGGGAGTAGATTTGGGGGTGCTGAGCTTGTGTGCCCTGCACAGGCCAAGGCCCCCTCACTCTATCCACAGATGGGACTGTCAGGGGAGAATTAACTTAGCGAAGGACCTCATCCTGGGCCTGATGGAGGGTCGTTGCCCGTTGCCCCGGGTGTCGGGAGGAGGAGGAGGAGGAGGAGGAGGAGGAGGAGGAGGAGGAGGAGGGAGCCCAGGCAACGCGAAGGCAGGCCATGTGGCTGTGCCCCGCTGAGGCTCACAGTTTCAGTCCGGAAACCCTGGGGTCTGGAGCGCCTGGAGCTGGCTGAAGGGTTCAGACTTCTGGGGGAAGTGAGGGCAAGAGGCATCCCGCCCGTGGGGGGCGAACAAGGCAGTGCTTTCATGGGAGGAGTGACTTGCAGGGTTTGTCTATCACCATTTTTACAAATATTCAGAAACAATGTCCACAGCTTGCCAGCTGACCTGCTTGGAGAGTTGCTGCTGCATTTTAAAATGTGAGCTTGTCTGAAAATTAGATTCTACTTGACCCCCACTTAACAGTATGCAGACAGGTATCCTTAAAACAAAACTCATTGCCATCAGTCAGTCACCCTTTTGTTGACATCTTCTGCCTGTACGATTTTATCCCTTGGAAACAGAATAAGGCAGAAATGCTGCCCCGCTCTCCCCAGTGTTCTCTCTTATAAATCCGAATTGCAGATTATTCTGCAATTCTTATTTGAAAGTGTCGGGTGCAGAAATCTTGAAAATTTCCCACTTTTACCTTACTCTCTCTTTTTTTTATATCAATCTCCGATCTTAATTTTGTTTTTCTTTTCCCTTTAGTTGAATTCTTAAAACTTAAGAGATTGAGTAATTGGACTTTTTCCTTTGTGGCTATGGATAAGCAAGACAGGAAAGTGTGGGCAAAGTGTAAGGGGAAACCTTACCTGACCAAGGGGAATTGGGGTTGGGGGATGGAAATGAGGGCAGAGAAGCTTGAGGAGAAACCATGTCCTCAGCAGCATAGCAGCCAGGGATCATTAGCCAGCCAGACTTGCAAAGTCATCAATCTCCAAGACTAGTTCTTAAACAAGTTAACCCAACCCTGTTCTGAGCAACTCAGCTTCTAGGGAATGAGGAGCTCCTGGCCGCTGGGCACCAGGGATCCCCTGGGCTGAGGCTGCGCTCTGGATGCCAGAATGCTTACAAGAGAACTGAAAATGAATGACCTAACTAGAACCATCCCGGTGTGTGGAATCTTCGTGACAGAGTCACAATGAATGACTTTCGTTCCAAGAAGAAATTTCTCTTGGACTCTTTGAAGGAATGGACGATGAGAATGAGAGGGGTTTTTAGTGCCTGCATGTTACATTTTGAGCAGAAGGTTGTGGCTTGCCAAATGAATGACCTCTCAAAATGTCTGGGGCTCGATACTCCTGCTTTGCAAACTGTAATATTTCCTGGTCCCACCCTGGCTATCCTCACTTGCTGGGGAAAGCATCCTTAGTTCTAAAATCCTAATTTCAGGCTCTTAAAAAATGGTTTTAGAAATACCCCTTTGGGGCTGAACTCAGCCTGACTGGAAGGACATTAGTGGATAACTGCCTTCTTTGGGAATACTGCATTAATTGAAATTAAATCGTTTTGTCTATTTCTAAAACAAATTCCCTGAAAAAAATGAACTGAAAACAAAAAAGTTTTTCTCTTACACTCGGATAATTCAAAACGAGCTTTGTTTTCAAAACTGCAAACTTGGCACGTTCGCAGTCCTTCCTGAGGAATGTGCGCTGTGTTAAAAAGTGGGAAAAAATACTGTTAGAAGAAACAGAGTTAGGAATCTCCTACCGAGCAGATGCAGTACGTACGTACGTATCAGTATTTTTATGGTCTGAATATATCTGCCCTGGCATTCTCTTAGTAACATGATAAATATGTTCAGAGAAGGAAAAGAAACACGCATATACTACAGAGTTGTTCGCAAAATGGTGAATTTGGGAGTTGGGTTTGCACAAAAGGTGAGTGCTTCCTCCTCTTTCTCCTTATTCTTTGGATGACCTACCACCTGCAGGCTGGCTTAGACTTTGATGAAATAATTTCTCTGAATTGCATAAATGAGGCACAGGAGCATTCACACAGAAGGGGGCGCAAATTGAAAAAGGCTGCAGTCGAATGGACATCTTAGATTTCATCTCATTTTGAACACTCCACAGGGATCGCCTAGTTGGAGAGTTAAAAGAAGAGAATTTTGTCAGAGTGGCATACGAAGTGTGTGTCGGCACAGGTGACCCGGATGACTCTGCCAGCAGATTCTTCCTCGCTGACACAGGCAGCCTTAATGTTTGAACACCTTACCCGAAATAAGAGAGCATCCTCTTTCCGTTTTCATGGTAGTTTAACTCATGAACCTGGTTCTGTATTTCTCTTTCTGAACTTCTTTAAGGATAAAGAACTACAACTATCAAATGTGAAGCCTTCAATCCGGAAGTAAAACGAAAAAGGATAAAGCGTAAGAAATTGGGTTGCCGAGAGCATCTTAAACAAGCAAATCACATTTTCAAGTAGATCTTTAAAATATCTGACATTCTGCATTCAAAGTGAAGGTAAGATAAAGAAAGAGAATATGCTGAACTTGTACATAAAGAGGAACCAGAGTGTGGAAAAGTATGGTGTCTTGAAGAGCCTCCTCCCCACCAGCTTTTATTAGCTTCCTGGGTATGCAGGCTACAGCGGCCATGTCCCATCTTTGCTGCCAGTTAACTTTGGTGAAATACCCACTCACCTATTTCAGACAGCTGCTGGAGTAACTGAAGAAATAATGTAAGAAATATGTACTTTTCATAGAGGCTCTTATCATGGCTTCCTATTAAGTCTGCCTACTTAGTAAGCATTTTTATCTTCTCCTTCGAATCATCAAGCAATTTAAATATAAATCTAGTGGTTTATATTCTTTGTTTTTCCAGATAAAGTTCCTACTCTGATTACTCATAACTTTCATCTCTCTACACTTCAAGGGATTTCCTTTTTTCACAAATGGCTTTTCCTGAAGCCTTAAATCCTATTTCCATTGTTTTGATTGATTCTTCCTGCACAAAACATGTTGTTTTTGCCAGTGACCACAAGAGGACACAATTTCCTAGAGAACTTTGTTTAAAAAGACACTTGGAGAAGAAGGCTTACAAAGTAGCAAGAAATATTGCACAGTGAATGCCATTTTGGGGATGCCTAATTGATTTATGTCACTTTTCATAATTAGAAATATACACATGAGTTGGCATTCAAGCCTTAGATGTTTTGGAAGATTTTATCTTTTCTCTTTATTGTAGAATATAAAAGAAAAACACTTATGAATATATACCAAAATACTACTATGTTAAGGGAACATGTTTATTTTACGTTAGTAGAATTTTGTACAAAACTCAGAATTGATCTGGAATTTTACTTGCTCAATTTTAGAGCCCTGTTTGGCAATGAAAAACAGTTATTTTTTAAAAAAATATGCCACTATTTCAAAATACCTTTGAAAGTTTGAATTTTTACTTTCAGCACTTGGGATGTCTTTATGTGCACAAATGCATGGAAATTATGTTTTATGATTTGCCAGTTCTATTTTAACGCATGTTATAAGTTAAGAACTAAATTATTTTTCAAAGATATGGAAAAATAGGATGTTATAATACGGATTCCTAACACTTATCCCAAATTATGACACACGCTCTTTAAGATCACCTTTCTCTTTCCCATTACTTCTTTCTTTCTTTTTTTTTTTTTTTAATGTTTTATTTATTTCCAGGAGAGAGAGAGACAGCGTGAGCAGGAGAGGGTCAGAGAGAGAGGGAGTCACAGACTCTGAAACAGGCTCCAGGCTCTGAGCCGGCAGTCAGCACAGAGCCCGACGCGGGGCTCGAACCCACGAACCGTGAGATCATGACCTAAGCAAAAGTCGGACGCTCAACCGACTAAGCCACTCAGGCGCCCCTCCCATTACTTCTCAAAAAAGATCTCAGAGCATCTGTTTTTTGTTTTTGTTTTTTTGTATAAAATGAATTATGTCTTGGTGTTTTTGAGAAGAATTTTATAGTTCTGGTAGAGCACCAGCGGCAGTCAAGCTGGGGAATCGCTGCCGCCTCATTTGGAACTCAGTGCTTTTGTTTTGCGTTTGTGTATCTTATTGCAGATACGTTCCGAATCACATTCTCTGAGATCCTGCTGAAGGAACTGAGCACTGGATCAGAGGAGCTGGAAAGAGAAACCGGCAAGAAGGAAAAACATGAGGAGTAAACAAGGAGTAAACATGAGGAGAACAAGGGAGAGAAGAATGTGAAGAGATTGTAAGAGGGCACTGGTACAACTGATTGGAAACTGAAAGAGAAAAAGAATGAGGCTTAATATGGAGAGATCAGTGCCAGAGAAAAGGCTTACATCAGAAGAGAAAGAAGGAAATGCATTTAGTGGGAAATAGAAAAGCACCAGGATTCTTTGCCTCAGTTTCTGCTCAAAGAGATTGTTGTAAGTAGCTACCTGCCCCTTGGTGTAGGCATTCCATTTTAGAAATCCTTGTCATTCTCGCTGAAGTCCTAACAAAAAGTAAGGAACTTGGTGGAGGGATGGGAAACTTTTAATTGAGGGTAATGTTCATCTAATAGATATGGTCTATCCGGAATTAGAGTAAAGATATTACATGTTGTTCCTGCCTCTCAAGATGGTAGAGGGAAGACATCTGGGGGACACTTGATGCCATTTCTGTGTGAAAAATGCTTTGAAATATGATAGGATTTTAGAAATCCTAGCTCATTAATTGTTTTCTATGTGACCTCCACAATGGAAATCAAACTTGGTGTTTTTTCCCTGTGGTTAGCCAGCACCAATGCCTTTGTCTTCCCCATCTCAGATACCTCGGGGAAGACATTTTATTCCCACACACCCCAACTCAAGACCTTGAGAGATTGTAAGGTTCTGGTTCTGCCTGATGGTGCATATAGGAGACCTGAATTCTGCTTTTAATTGGCACTAGTTAGTTATGTCTGTTGATTCTTTTGTAATTTAACAAAAACGTGTCAGTCTCTAATTATGTTAGGTACTTGGAGTAAGAAGATGTAGCCACTGACATCAAGGGTGTCACAGTCTAATGAGAAATAAAACCTGAAAAAAAAATGTAGCATGAAGAACTAACTACTGTGATAAATATTTTCAAAGAATGCCAAGGACACTGGACTTGGTCTGAGGTGACAGGATGTCTTTGTGCATTGGGAAGTTACCTCTCTGCAATGATAGCCTCCAAATATACTTCCAGGAAGCTTGGCCCAGACAGAGAGAAACACACAGAAAGGCCCACAGACCAAGTGAAGATGTACATATCACCTGGTTTATTAAGTTGATTAGAAAGCAAGAAAGGGAAATATAGTAGGTTAATATACTAGAATAGCTTGCAAACAGGCAGGAAGGGCCATGCTACCTAAATCCTGGAGTACACAGGTTCATAGTGATCTCTCTCGGCCCTCCAGCAGCCTTCCTTGCTTATGGTATGGTTAAGAGGTCAAAGTGAGGTTTAGAAATGGTATAGGTCCCTGGAGCTAAATTAACTTGCTCTATTAGAGAAGGCAAATACTCTTGTCCGCAGCGGGGGTCGATATTAGCCTCTGAGTGGCTAATGGATTTTATCTTTCAGTCTTGGCCAGAGCACAAGTGGGCCAAGTTGGGTGTTAACACAGGAAGCTGAAGACCTCATGAATATGGGATTCCATGAGAGCTTCGTGACTCTCTGATGCTTACATAGCCTTTCTGTCCATTTCTACCTACTTTAGTGATGTCGTCTCTCAGGTTACTTACTTCCATTCTTAATGTCATCTATTTTCTTCGTTTCTCTTATTCTCTTCAGCAGAATTGGATATTCATAAATGTAACAGGAAGCATACATGGTGGTCTTCCTGAAGGACCCTTTATCTCCTGTTTGGTCTTGAAGGATGTATGGGGTGAACCATATGAGAAGTCGAAAGGGTAGGAGGAAGGAAAGACACTGAGAGGGGCATGAGTAAAGGCAGGGAGGCAGGAGCATGCCTGACCTGCTCAGGGTCTTGTAAGGAGTCTTGTATGGCTGGAGATGGAATGGGTATGGGAGCGGCTGGAAATGAGACAAAGCTTAGATCACTAACTGTGTGCATCCTAGGGAATTTGGGTTTTATAATAAATGGAACTGGGGAAACTGAAGAATGTTTAGCAGGGAAAGGACACGATCAGATTTATATTTTAGACATATGAGCCTGTGGAGAGTGCAGGGGATGGGCTAGACAGTTACGTGATTATATTTGGGAAGTTCTTCTGTCTGCCCACAATATATGTCCTGTAAATGAATCTGTTTACTTATGAGAACTTATACCATTGCATTAGGTATGGGGCATGTGGACAGTATAAGATAAAACTGAGAGAAAACGGATTCAGGGAGATGTGGAGGCATCACTCTCCTCATCTGTAAAATGAGGTAATTGGATAGACAAAATACGAAAAAGTTCAAAAATGTGTAAACTTGAAGGATTTTAGAAATTATCTAGTCTCATAGTTTTATAGATGAAAAAGTTTTCTCTATGACTGCTTCAAACCCTACGGTTTGGCAATATCTGGAACCTGAAAGCATTTTCCTAAGTAATGAGAATCAGTTCCCTCTAGTTCTGGAAACTGCTTGTGGCCAACTGTGGGCCTACACTTTTTTGCCAAAAAAGAGTAAAATAGGCAGTGATGTGATTTGAAGGGGCTTCCTCCAAAACCACTTCATACTTCCCATAGCCATGCTTTAAACCTGTCACTGAGAACTCATTAAGTTGGGGCCTGCCATTGTCCTCTCCAGGCTCCTCTTTTAGATGGCAAAGTCCCAATGTGAGGTAACACAGTAGCTCATGGACACCTTTGAGTGTATTTGATTGCATGACATTTTTCTCAGGAAAGGAGGAGCCCAAGCTAGCCAAAGGATACTGGGACACATTGGATTGTCCACACCGAAAGTCAAGGAAAGTTGTAAAGAAAGAAGGGGTTGTGATACTAGGACCTTTGTAGTTTTTCCAGATGGGTGTTGTGCTAACAACCTGGCCTGTCTGAGCCTTCCATGCCTTCAGTGTGGCTGATGTTGGCCAGTTCTGTCTTTTAGATTCAATTCTAGGTAGAACACAATGAGGCAGTGAGGAAACAGGAACCCACCTCCCTTGTCTCACATCTCCATTCCTGCCAAAGTCTTAGAACCTTGAAAAGTTTCTATCAAATAGGGCATACTCTTCTGTCTCACTATCAGATGTGTGTCAAGAACAAACAATCACAATCTCTTAGTTTTAATTATAACTGACCTATTTAGAAGTACTTATGTTCATGAGTAGACCTATTTCTAAGGAGCATGAAGTATATATAATGACTGAGAAAAACAAAAATAGCCACCGGTGGTCATAAAGCAACTTTAATGTCAATTTTAATTTCACAGCCAAGTTTTTGGACTGGGGATAAATAATTGTTAAAAATACTCTAAAGACTAAGACAAAGATGTTAAATTTGAAGTGAATTGGCAGGCTTGAAATGTATGAAGAACCAATACTGCAAATAAGTTATATTTCTTTTTTAACAGGACTATTCTCCAAGATAGACTACAGTCTGATACAATTATTAGTAAAACTCCATTTCTAGGTTTATGTAACACTTATCCACTTTTGTGTTCATTATATTGATTCTTACATAAAAAACTGGGTACCCAGATACTTTATAGAGATTCATCAAAACATTTTACAGTATTTTGTTTAGTATACATTTTAAATGGGAGAGAGAGAATTTCATGGCAAACTTTGGTTAAGACAGAAAGACTGTTGGATTTTATTTGTGAATCTCTCAGCAATGGAAGCTGTAATCACAAGATGCTGTGGCTTTTGTCATTTCCTTGAGTTAATAGTCATGGTGGAGGATCACATTATGGGTGACTAGACTAAACTAGAATAGGATGAAAAAAGAATGAAAGCAGATTAAAAATAACAATCTGAGGGGCGCCTGGGTGGCTTAGTCGGTTAAGCGTCTGACTTTCGCTTAGGTCATGATCTCGCGGTTCGTGGGTTTGAGCCCCGCGTCGGGCTCTGTGCTGACTGCCAGCTCAGAGCCTGGAGCCTATTTCGGAGTCTGTGTCTCCCTCTCTCTCTGACCCTCCCCTGCTAGCGCTGTCTCNGCCTATTTCGGAGTCTGTGTCTCCCTCTCTCTCTGACCCTCCCCTGCTCACGCTGTCTCTCTCTCTTTCTCCTAGAAATAAATAAAAAAAATAAAAAATAAAGCATGTCCCCTTTAAAAAAAAAATAACAATCTGAATTATATCCCTAGTTAAATTAAATGATCATTTTATTTTAATGTATTATAAAATCCTTAAAACATTACAATTGCAGAACTGGAGAAACTGCTTATATATATATAAAAAAAAGCACTTCAGTAGAAGCATACACTGCTAGAGCAAGAAGACGTTTTAGAAGTCCAGAGTTGTTCTTCCTTTTCTGGCAACATAGAATGGCCATAGAGAACAGTGTGGTAGCCGACAACCAAGATTCTGGAGCCAGTCAACCTAGTTTCAAATGTTACTCAACTTCTCACCACCTGTGTGTAATGTTAGATAGTTTACGTGCTCCTTTGTGCTTCCTGGGAAAAAGAGGGAATAATGTACGTTATTAGCTGTCATGATGAAATAGAGTCATAAGTGCTTAAAATGGTGCCTGGCACTTGATATGTGTTTGATATTATTATTTTAAATGAGGACTGAGTTATGCAGTACCTTGTAGACTGAGATGTAGCATTTGCATCCGATTCTAAGTATAAAGGAAGAGCTTAAAGAGTCAGTGAGGAAAGTGATGATCCAGTTCTGTTTGAAGCACATCAATTCCTATATCCTTATTTCAGTCCCTGAGGACTCAAAGTTTAGGATGAGGACATTAATTGGAGAAGGTTCAGTAATTTATACATCCACTAGCTACCAAGAAATGGTAACAGGAGGCATATGACCTCCATTTTCCATAGTAGGCAGTATCTTGTCTGAGCCAAAGACTCTTATATTCAGGTGTCCATTTGATATTGCAATGTGGGTTTCTCACAGATGTCTTGAACTTATTGTTAGTCTTATATAATTTATTCCTCCTACAATTTCAGTAAATTGTTTCTCTAGTTGCTTAGCCTAAAACCCTAGAAGCCATCATTAATGTGTCTCTTTCCCTCAGCCCACCCTCTCCTGCATCCAGTTGATCACAACGAGTACAGTTTCCCACCAAGACCTACAGACTGGGTATTCACCCAATAGTAGGAAGTACTATTTAGTAGTTTGGGTGTGGTATGTTCAGGACTCCAACAGAGATAGCATTTCCAGAGTCCACACCATTGAGACTCCCTATAGCACAGCATAGTGTTAAGTGGCTTATATTGGAGCCTCTTTCCTTTGTGTTAGTATTTTATTCCCAACAAGCCTAATTGCTGTAGGAAACCAGACTTTTCTCATATTCCTCATGGGCTCC